ACTGATTTAAATCAGTATCCAAAGTCACTGAGCCTTTAGATAGCTTTGTGTCACATCTCTTCTAGAGATACAGAGCTGTACCTATCTGTGGCTAGCTTAGCTAGCCTACTGTGATGGTATTCACTGGCTCAATAGAAAAGTTCAAGGGAAAAGACATACCAAAATCCCCAGACGAGCAGGATGCCAGCTGATGAGTGAGAGGATTGTACGAAACGCACTGGATAGAGTCATTATGCCTAGAATGAAGTTGCAATCAGATTTCAATAAATCATTCTTAAATGCCCCTTTTCTGACTTTCATCAAGAGAGTTGAAAGCTTTACCAGATGCCAAAATAACTGGATTGGTTTATAGTACAAGTTAATCTGCTATTACTGTAAAGTAAATCCGTAATAAACCCTACAAAAATTGTCTCCAAGTGGCAGGATACAGTGTATTTCATCAAGATTAGCTAAAACTGTAGAGCAACAGTGGTTTGTGAAATATGACTAAACGCTGTATCCAAATTCTAAACCAAGTGTGCTCACGCAGGCTCCATGCAGTGACCAGCTCGTGCAAACCAACTCATGATAAATGTGCAGTCCGAAACAGAACGTGAGTTATCACTTCAGAAGGTTGATATAAACACAGAGCCAGAAGATTGAAACATACCAAAAGTACCAAATCCATCTTTAATTTGATCTTTGAACCAGAACTATGGTTTATTATACAAGGACAGTCACACAGTGTTTCATTTTATTCTGACCTATTCTGAGTTTCCCCAGTTCTCTACCAGCCCTCTAAACTCAGAGATTTATTTCGACTCCCCACCCCCTTTTATCCCCTTAATTGCTTTCCTGCCTCATTCCTCCTCCCTCCCCTATCACCGTTGGCATTTTCTCTGACCTTCATGAACTTTCTCCCAAGTCTAACAGCTCGTGCTCTTTGAGAGCACCAGTGCATAATCAAAATTGGCTTTTGAGGCACAGAACTGAATGGCATCACTTACGTGTACTTCAGAATTCCTTCTAACTTTGAAGTCCAAATTATCACACTTTTATCAGCAGAGCCAGATGCGAAACGCTTGCCTAGGAATTGGAGATTTTTAATCCCACACATACAAAAATCACTTTCACACCCGATACTCAGTCAAAGAGAGAGCAAGAAGTTCTTGAACTTGACAAGGCTCAAGTACTACAGGGGCTGATACGGAGTGCCTGAATGTGCTGGCGCTTCCCCAGCCACATGGAACTCCAATGGCTCTACCGCACCGTTCCCACAGCCCTGTGAGCAACCTGGCCTTCCAGTGCTGCCAGCCCCAAGCTGGAGATTCCTGGCAACAGTGACAAAGAAAATGGGTACACTGTCACAGGAACACCCACCACTCAAACAGCAGCACCTGCAGCAAGCCCCCTGAGCCCACAGAGTCCCGCAGAATGAGAGTCAGAGAGCATGACAGAACTGGAAGCAGAGCGAGGTCTGCAGTGAGTAGGTAACGTGTGAAGGATCAGGAGATCAGAAAGATCCAGGATAGAAGAACTACGGGGAAAAAAGGTGAGTAGGAGAAAGAGGGATCTCTGGGGCGAACATTACCCGTGAATATACACTTAAGCAGTACTAAACTTCAACTCAAGTTGAAGGAGCAGTGGGATCACAGTTCTTGGAGTCCCAGGTGACCTTGCAGGCAGCATGTTGTACAGCAGATCGAACCCTCCACTGAGGAACAAACCCCAGCATTCACATGCTGTGACTGAAACAATGCTCATTTCTCCATTTTCAATGGGCAATAATAAATGGGAGAGATGCACTTCACAAACCAGACTAACAAAGCCCCAAAGTGATATTTACCATCTTTGGCATAAGCCACACAGTACACAGTGTCCTTATGTCCCTTCAAAGGCTGAATTAGGGTTCCATCAGAAGTATCATATACCTGTTTAAATGGGGAGAAAAAAATCAAACAAAATATACAAACAGAAGAATTTATATGAACAATCTTCCAGTGAATCACAGAACCACAAACTGGTTTGGAGGGGAAGGGACCTTAAAGCTCATCCAGTTCCACCTCCCTGCCATGGGCAGGAACACCTTCCAGAAGACCACGTTACTCCAAGCCCTGTCCAACCCGGATTCGAACACTTCCAGGGTGAGGACTGTGATTTAAAATTACTGAGGGACAACAAACTGTGCACTTCCTTTTGTGCCTGCTTTTTGCATAGCACACAGTTCATGCAAGACAAAACGTTTTCAAGCATAGAAGCAGATTTCTATAACATGATACTTCTTGGGAGGAAAGAAAAATCAGTACTAGAAAATTATACACACAAAAGAGATTTCTCACCAGCTCATTTGGCATCTTGTTTTAAGTCTTATTGGTTTTTTTTATCTTTTATTTTCATCTTTTACATCTTATTGTTAAACATCTTTCTCCACATTAGATATTTAAAGGTTACTGGAAGGGAGCATCACTAAATTCACCATTCTGTGAGCACTGAAAATAACTCCTGCTGTCCTGCAGTGCTGAACTCTACAACCCATCCCTCCCTGCAGCTCCTACACCTGCCCCATCTGAAAGCTTTGCAGGACCTGTGAGCAGCTGGACAGGAGCTGCTCTTGCAGCAGCTCCAGGGACCCTTAAACAGCTCGAGCTGAAGGTTCCCACAACACCGAGACACAGATTTGAGTCTCTCCCCTTCTCACAGAGATTTTAATGAAACTTGTACCAGCACAGCCTCTGCACTCCGTGCTCTGTGCCAGGCCTGCGGGCAGGTTCATGGATTTCAAACCTCGGGCGAGGCACGAGAAGATGCAAATAACTTAAATCTCATTACTTTCGGAAATAGAGCCTAAAACTTGGTAAGAAATATTTAAAAGCTTCAAATCACTTTAGAGTTGGCCTGCATTAATATGTATGTGGCTGTGAGGCTGGGCTGGCAGAGATAAGGGGATTTTGGATAGGTTACATTCATAAGTTAATGTGGAAGAAATCACGTTCATACAGCTGTAGAGGACAGAGGATAGGAAGGTTTCCCTACCAGCAGTCTGTTTCCAGCAGCAACTATAAGCTGGGTCCCATCCGGCTTGAACGCGAGGTCGTAAATACTGAGGGAAACAAACCAAGCAAAAACCCCGTATTAGGAGGCAGAAAACACTCCCTGAGCGTCAGAGGTGCCGCACGGCCGAGACTGGTAAAGGCACGGTGAGGGTGCGTCTGACTCCCGAGTGAACCTCCGGGGCCGCCCCCGCGCTGCCGCCCGCACGCCGGGTGTCCCCGGGGCCGCTCACCACTGCTCGGCCCTGTCGCGCCAGGTGAGCGCGGCCCGCATGGCCGGGCCCGCACCGCCCTCACGGCCGGGCCCGCACCGCCCTCACGGCCCGGCCCGCACCGCCCTCACGGCCGGCCCGCACCGCCCTCACGGCCCCTCAGGCCGGGCTCGCGCGGCGCCGGGCGCCATGGGCAACGCGCCTGCGCGCAGGGGCCCCGAGACAGGGGGCGCTGTCACCCCGCCGGGGGGCGCTCGCCCCGGACAGGCGGCGGGTTGTCACGTGACCGGGGCGCGGGAAATGGTGGCGGCAGGACCGGCGGACGGGTAACGGCGGGACGGGCCGGGACGGGCCGGGCCGGGACGGGACGGGACGGGACGGGGCCAGCTGGCTCCCAGGACCCTCTGGGCCTCTGGGTTCGGGCTCAGGCCTGCCCCGCCGACCCCGGGCCCCCCGGAACAGGACCTCACCCGGGCTCTCCTTCCCTTGCAGGCCCCGCGGCCCGGCGGAGCCCAGCGCCGTTCCCCGCGGGTGGCGGCGGGTGAGCAGCCGCAGGCGGGCGGGCAGGACTGCCGGGAGGATTGACGTGTACTTTGTCAGGTGAGGTCGGGGGCCGTCAGGTGAGCTGAGCCATCAGGTGAGCTCTGTGTGGCCTTTCTCGGTCGAGCCACACAAACGTGCCCCAACAACTGTTTCTGTCCTTGTGGGTTTTTTTTTTAAATGTACCATAAGTTTTTCAGGAAAAAGCAAGAGAAAAAACAAGTCACTAATTTACTTTCATAGAATCATAGAACAAGGTGGGTTGGAAAGGACCTCTGATATCATCGTGTCCAACCCTTGATCCACTACCACCACAGTTACCAGACCATGGCACTAAGTGCCACATGCAGTCTCTTCTTAAATACCTCCAGGGACGGAGAATCCACCCCCTCCCTGGGCAGCCCATTCCCATGCTGACTACCCTCTCTGTGAAGAGTTTTTTTCTTAATATCCAACCTAAATCTCCCTTGGCAGAGCTTGAGACCGTGCCCTCTTGTCTTAGACCATGCCCTCTTTCCTTTCCTACCACAGCCCTGAAGGGAAGAAGCTGAGGTCGAAACGAGCACTTGTGGAGTATTTTCAGAAAACTGGGGAGACAATACTGAAAGCAGCAGATTTTGATTTCACAGCTCCTCGGGGAAGCACACACTCAGGAGTGAGGGGATGCAGGACGAGAGCTGCGAGGACTGACCTGGAGAAGGACGATTGTCATAGCCAAGTGCAGGAGCTCTGTGCACAGAATGGGTCCCAGGTTGGAATTCAGAACATCCACGCTGGGAATGGACACGTGGAAGATGTTACATCCACTTTGGAAAGGACAGATTTGGTCATGGATGGCACAGACCCAGAGGAGGGTTTGAAAACTAAAAGGAAGGGGGCAGGTGGGAAAAGTGTCCAGAGTAGAAAACCTGCGAAGACCTCAGAAAGGAGGAACCGATGTGACCCCCAGAGCAAGAGGCAGAGAAGAGTCCGTAGCACACGGCAGATCGAGTGTGTTCAGAACAAGAGGTTCTGTAGACAGACAGAGGGGAGTGGGGCTGACAGCCAGGGTGTGGGTGATCTGAGCGCTGAGCCTGTGGGTGCAGGCAGAGCTTTGTCAGCAGTGTCCAGGGCACGGGCAGGCACACGGCTGAGGTCAGTGGCTGCTGGCTCACAGAGGGACTTGGGGCACTTGTCACAGGAGGGGCCTGTGGGGACAAGCTTCAGCGACCCAGCTGAGGAGAAATCCCACGGACTGGAGACAGGGAAAGAGCCAGATCAGGGGCCTGTGGGTGAGCAGGATGTTAAATCCAACACCGAGGCGGATGCTGAGCCGTGGGACGGGATGAGCTGCACAGGTACATATGTGTGTGAGCAGAATGTGACTCCAGCCCTCACCTTCTGCCAGGAGCTCTCCTGACTGTTTGAGCCAGGTGTTCTGTTTTGGGTTGACCTGCTCTAACATCCAAATCTGTCTCATTTCTTTATCCAACAGCGTTTAACTTAATGCAGATTTAGTCACGCCTGGAACTTTCTGTTCCAAGCTCTTGAGCTCTACAGTGTGAGACCCGCAGGAGGTCTAGGGCATGTGTGTGTTCTGTGCATGACAAAAATTTCTTCTGTTTCCAACACAGCATAAAGTGGTGTATGAAACACAACAGCAAAATACTTGGTTCTTCTTCCAAATGCCGAGGTTTTATTTCTTTACAGAAGAGTCTGTCCCACGAACACAAGTGGAGAGAAGGAAAACAAGTCCATATTTTTCCAGTAAATACAGCAAAGAAGGTATTGTATTCTTTAGGGAAATATTTTTTTTATGGGGGAGGGATAGTTGGCACAGGATCAAGTGATGTTCTGGCAAGTGCCTTGCAGTTTGGGTCTGGCAGCCTTGGCTCTGGCTGCAGCTGTGCCAGAGGGTACGCATTCCCCTGCAGCCCTGGAAAGGCTGTGTGGGAACTGCTGTGGCTGCATCCACACACAGTGCCCCCACAAAAATCAATCTGCTTCAAAAGTCCTAATTTTAAATTTTTTGTTTAAATTAAATAGGTAAATCTGTCCCTTTTCTGTTCAGTAAATGTTTCTGTGTTGTCCCTGTACAGCCCCCAGCCCACCCAGAAGGAAAACCCTCAGAAAATGGACCCCTCCACGTTCTCCTTTCAATCTGGTCCAAGAAACACTCTTCCATGATCCATGGAAGCTTCTCATTGCCACCATATTTCTCAATAAAACTTCAGGTAAGCAGAGTAGCAGGAGCTGGTGTGTGAATGTTGGGAGGTGTTGCAGGGATAAAACTGATGCCAGTTCTAATGGCATTCATGAAAGGAGAGGTGTGTATTAACTCACATCAGCGTGAAACAATCTGTAGTTGGTAACTCTTGCCTTGGAAAAGCTCACTTAAGAAAGCACTTGGATAATGCAGAAGAATTCCTGGCCCAGCCTTCTGCTCACAGGCTTCTTTCACCAGGGAAAATGGCAATTCCAGTGCTCTGGGAGTTCCTGAAGAAGTACCCTTCTCCTGAGGTAGCCAGGGCTGCAGACTGGAAAGAGATGTCAGAGCTGCTCAGACCTCTTGGCCTCTACGAACTCAGAGCCAAAACCATCATCAGGTTCTCAGGTGGGTTTTCCTGATACCTGGAACGGTCTCGGTCACTCTGGCAAAAGGCAAACAGCTTCACTCTAAATGCTGCTCCGTGGCTTCTCCTCTGTTTGGCAGTTTGGTCGCCTGGTGGGTTATTTTGTGCATCATTTGGGCTCTGTTAGTGTCACGCAGGCTGAGCTGCTGATCCCAGTCTGAGTGGGGAGGGAAGCACCAGCCAGGATAAGTTGTGCAGGAGACCAGGAGGTTTCCTGGAGCAGAGGAGATCCAACACCTGCAGCACTGCTGCTGTGTTTGCAGCACTGGGATAGGGTGGCTCTGCTCAGGGTTGCTCTGGTGACCTGCAGAAGGCCCTTCCAGCAGAATTTCTCTATGATTCTAATATTTTCTGTACTCAGAACCTGCAGAGGAATACTTTGTTCTGAGGAGAGAGAGGTGACTGAAACTCTCCCATGGTGGTTTATTGAAAAAGTGCTTAAAATGTACCAGTGGGGATTCAGGGCCTGCATGCACCAGGAAACACCTAAAACTTGGGTTTTTCATTTGAAATGTGCCAAAGTGGAGTCGTGTTCCACTGGCAGAGAAGGAGAGTTCCGCCCAGGTGCTCCCTGTGCCTGGTGCAGGTGAGGGGGTCCCAAGGGCTGTGCCCTGCCTTTCAGGGGAGTACCTGAGCAAGCGGTGGCGGTACCCGATCGAGCTGCACGGCATCGGCAAGTACGGCAACGACTCCTACAGGATCTTCTGCGTCAACGAGTGGAAGGAGGTGGGCGCTGTGGCCGGGGCAGGGCGGGCCTTGTGTCCACTGACCTCTGGGAATAGAAAACCAACGCTCACGGTGTTGGAGTGATGAGGTGTTTTGAGAGGAGGTGTTTTAGAACTTTCCCTGTGTTCCAGGTGCAGCCACAGGACCACAAGTTGAACGTGTACCACGCGTGGCTGTGGGAGAACCGGGAGAAGCTGAGCCTTGACTGAGCCCAGGCAAGCTGGGGGTGTCCCAGCCCCTCTGCCTGCCCTCGGGTGACTTCACAGTTCTTGGTGTAGATATTTGTGTGATATCTTGGCTCGGGTCATCGCAGTAATGACAAGTGTCTGATCTCTATTTTTTTAATAAAGGTGTCCGTGGTTGTAGTGCCTGTCCCTTCCTGCAGTGCGGATCTGTGTTCTGTGCCTGCAGCCTCCTCCCCGTGCCTGCCATCGCCACCCTCGGAGCCCGCTCCGATCTTGTGCTGCTGGGCAAGAGCCGAGGGCTGGAGCTGGAGCAGGAGCGGGGACAGGAGGACCGGCCCCGGACCGGCCCCGGCGCTTCCCCGGGTGCTGGCTGGGACGGGCTCTGCGATGGGCCCGGGGTCAGTGAGCCTCCCCCGGCCAGGAGAGAAGCAGCCCCTCGGGGCAGCGGCAGAACCAGGGCGTCGAGCCCGGGGCCGGGCCGGGTGCTTTGGGTGTGCCGAGCCTGGCGCCAGCAGCGCTCCCCGTCCCTGTCCCTGTCCCTGCCGGGGGAGACGGGCCCGGCGGGACCTCCGCACCGCCAGGGGGTGCCAGCCCGGCTCGACTGCCGGAAGCAGCGCCCGGGCACTGCTGTGATAGTGACGTCAGCAGGTCCTGGCAGCCTCCTCCCGAGAGCGTGGTTCGGGACCGTGGGCGGGAAGCACCGATCTGCTCTTTCGGGACGTTTCTTCCGGACAGACCCGGCCGGTGCCAACTCCCGTTGGCGATCTGCGCCCCGCCGGTGCCCGGTGCCCGCTCCGCGCGGCCTTGGCGCCTCACGCAGCTGCCAGGACCTCCCGCATATCCCACAAGCCCCTGCGCGTGGGACTCCTCCCTCTCTCGGCGGGCCCGCGGCGGACGCGCCATCGGCACCGGTGAGTGGGGACGGGGACCCGCGGCCATCCGCGCCCATCCGCGCCCAGCAGCGACCCACCCGGCCGCGGGACTCGCGGCACGGACCGGCGTCCCCTCTCCTTCCCTTCGCTTCACCTTTCCCGGGGAGCGAGAACCGGCCCCCGCAGGGCCGAGGTTCTGCCTGCCTGGGGCCCGGCCCGCGGCCCTGCCCGGACGGCGAGGCGCTCTCGGCGCTCGCTCACGGGCCCGGCCGAGCCTTTGGGCCGGGCTCGGCACGTTCAGTGCCAGCGGCTGTCGGTCACTGCTCCCCGCGAGCAGCCGCGGTCCGTCCGGCTTCGGTGCGAGGTCCGGAGTCCGGGCAGAGCCATCGGGGGGGGCGATGACACCGGGGCACCTCCCAGGATCGCATCTGGAGAGCTCCCAGTGCTCTGCCAGCTTCGGAGGCGGGAGGTAGAGCCACAGCAGATGAAGACCCATTCCCTCGCCAGCCCGGCGTGGCCCGCGGGGGAAGACAGTCTGCGACACGCGCTGCCCGGGGGGCCGCGCCGCGCCCGGCCGCGCCCCCCGCTCACCCCGCTCTGTGTCCCGCAGCCACCATGCCTGCTCTCAGGCCTCTCGTGAAACCCAAAATCGTCAAGAAGAGGACCAAGAAGTTTATCCGGCACCAGTCCGACCGTTATGTCAAAATCAAGGTGAGCAGTCGCTGTCGGTCCCCGAGAACTCCGGGGGTGGCAGCAGCCGGGCAGGAAGGGGCTGTGGGGGCCGCTGTTGGCTGGAGCCGATGCCTCGGGCCAGGCAAGGGTGTTCAGCCCTCGGGCAGGGGTGTTCAGGCTGATCTCCAGGCTGATCTCGTGTAACTGATCTGTGCATTCCTGCAGCGCAACTGGCGCAAACCGAGGGGCATCGACAACAGAGTGCGCCGGCGCTTCAAGGGGCAGATCCTGATGCCCAACATTGGCTATGGCAGCAATAAGAAGACAAAGCACATGCTGCCTACGGGCTTCAGAAAGTTCCTGGTCCACAATGTCAAAGAGCTGGAAGTGCTGATGATGAGCAACAAGTGAGTGTGTGGGGCCTGTGTGCTCCCCCCTGGGAGAGGCAGAGCGGTCAGGGTGACAGAAGGGAGATTGTTGCTTTCAGGAGCACAGATGCTGTTGTGGTTTTCTCAGTGCTGCTGGTGTCGGGGCACAGAGGGGCCTTAGGACTAGAAAACTCATACCTGGTAAAAATAGACGTAACAGTGGCAAAATCACAGCTGTGATTTGTCACTGGTGACCGTGGTCAGAACTGGAGCTCCAGGACTGAGTCTCCTTATCTGGTTGCTTTCACTACAAAGCAATAACAGCAGTAACCAACACCATTAACAGCTATCTGGGACTCAGTCTTTCACAAGAAGGGCTGAGCTGTTCTGGAGGGGAGCTTCTGCTGGGACTCAGTCTTTCACAAGAAGGGCTGAGCTGTTCTGGAGGGGAGCTGCTGCTTCACACCAAACAGGTCACATTCAGTGAAGGGGTGGAAATTGCGTGGTTCAGTTCCCATGCATTGATGCCCCTGTGCTTGGCTGCACTGTGGGATGTCTCTGGAGGGCTTCGCTGTGGTGGGACAGAACCAGAGGGCTTTGCCTTGGCTCTCAGCTCTGCTGGAGCTGAACCTGACGTGCTGTCTGTCTCTGACAGGTCGTACTGTGCAGAGATAGCTCACAACGTGTCCTCCAAGAACAGGAAGGTGATTGTGGAGAGAGCAGCACAGCTCGCCATCAAGATCACCAACCCCAACGCCAGACTGCGCAGCGAGGAGAACGAGTAACCATGCTCTGCAGCCCAGGTGTATTTAATAAAGCCTCAGTCCAACTCGGGTGCTGTTTTGCGTGGGCAGAGCAGGGGCAGCAGCCCCAGCCTGGCTGTCTTGGGGCATTCGCACAGCGAGGTGCAGTGTCAGCGTGATGGTCACTGAACTCAGGGCATGCAGCTTCACAAGTGTATTTTATTTTTATACCATTCAGACAATAGCTGTTCTTTCACACAGCACTGTAAATACTTTTCACATCAACCACCCTGTCAGAAGAAAAGGAAGCATAGGGCAGGCCAGTGGCCACAGCCCCAGTGTGTCATGGTGGCCTTGTGCTCTAGTTGGCTGTTAACGTTCTTTGTCCCTTAAGGCATTTTCTCCTGCACAAAGCAGGATTTGAGCACAGCTGCTGCTGTGGATTGTGTGCACCTCTGGCCTGCCACCTTTCACCCCTTTGACATTATCACAGACCACCAGCACTCCTGCAGGTGCCTCCTGCTGATCTGTGACTATGGTCAGTAGGTTGGTGCCCTCATGGCACACTGAGGTGCTCCAAGGGGAGGGAGAAGCCAGCATTGGTGCAAAGCAGAGCTCAGAGCAGGGTTTGTCACTGAGATAGTCACTAATCATCCCTTGGAGGAGATGCTTGAGGTATTCTGCAGTCAAAACTGTAAAAATGGAAGCCAAGCTAGAAAGCTTTGTATTGCCAAAATGTGGAGCCCCAGGTTTAGGTAACCCCCCTGCCCTGTGCAGCTCCTGCAGCTTGGCTGATGCAATCTCCTTTCCCAAAAGGCCTGTCGTAGTGATGCTCATCACTAAAGACGTGACTTAAGTTTTAAGTCATGTTATTTAGGGAAACACTGTAAATACATTCTTGGGCAGTCTGGGGTAGAAAGTGCATGTGCAGTCATTAAAAAAACCATTTAAAGCTATTTTTCTTTGTACTGCAGTAAGGAATATATCGGGAAGTAGTTTCCAATGTTCATGGCACCATGCTCAATTGCAGTTGCTTTCTGTGTCCCTTAAAACTTGCTGAGAAGTGGGACTGCTCACCTTTCAGCCCCTCCCCGACATGAGGATGTGTTCCCCTGATCCATGAGGTGTCTGATGCAAGTGCTGCTGGATCCAAGCAGTTCCTCCTGTGGCTGCCCAGGGACTTGCACATGGCTGTGGCAGGAGAGTGGCTCAATGGCCTTCGTTCCACTCTCCCCCTTTCCCTGCAGGCCCAGCTGGTGTCTCTGGCTGGGGCATTGCAAGGACAGGAGGGCAGTGGGGCAAGCACAGCTTAGCTCATGTCCATTGACTCTGAGATGGAGAGGGAAGCAGAATCTTTCTGAATGCTCTCAAACAGTGACGCCATTTCAGGGCTGGATCTGATCTGGGATGAAAACTCTGCCATCACTGGACTTTTCTCCACTTCTGGGATGGTCAGGAGAGCAGCCACTGCCCTCATGGCTGACCGCTTCAGCTCATCCTGCTTCTCAAACTCCTGCTTCACCGAACCAGCTTTCACCTGCAAATCCAAAGCCCTGTTTGCAGTTGGCATTTAGAAAAGCTGGTTCAGGCACAGAACCAACACAGTAGCAGAGTGTTTTACAGCTGGGGAAGTGAGGGGAGCGGGTGGCTCAGCAGCACTGAGGGAGAAGGCTGGGAGCAGAGGTGGCTTTGGGCAGGATCTGTTCCAGCTCTTACCTTGGTGGAGCAGGTTGCCCGGAGGGGCTCGATGAGCCGCTCGAGCCGCTGCAGGACGGCGCTGGGGCAGAGCGCAGAGAGCCGTGCCAGCATGATGAACGTCAGCATCTGGGCAGGAGGGAGAGAAACGGGTTGGTTCTGCAGCCCCTGTGCTCAGAGCTGGACCTGCTCTGCTGACGGGCCAGGCTGTACCCACCCTGGCTGTGTTCCTCTGCACTTGTGCCAGGGGCTATGGGCAGAGCTTTGGGGATACTGGAAACGCAGCCCTGGCAGCCAGCAGGCCAGAGTGCAGCTGGGCCTGGTGCTTGCAGTGCTGCAGGTGTCTGCACAGGGCCATGGGGACAAAAGGCACCACCCAGCACGGGGCTGTGCCTGCCTCTGAGCTGGGGCAAAGTAAATCCCATTGGAAAAGGACGTTTTGCTTCCTATCCAGATGTGAGGCCAGCAGCCATTATAGCATTGCTAGATTGTTTTCAGTATAGTGTCACTGGTCCCTCTGAACAAATGACAATCATTGCTTTAAAGCAGAAGAAACTTATTTTAGACTTTGGTACAATCCCTACAAAGCACCAGGGGTATGTTGGCAAGGCCACCACAGTCAAATCAGAGACAGGCAATGATGAAAGGCTGCAGCAGTTGCAGGGAACAGAAAATGGCATGACAAGGGCACACAGTGGGGAGAAACAGCTCAATTGCAGGCCAGGCCCCCAGAGAAAATTACATTAAGGCACAGCACTGACCCGAATATCATAGTGATCCTTTAGCCCATCCTCCACATGGTTCAGGTACTCGTAGATGTCCAGCTGGTCCAGGC